TGGTTGAGTGGTTCGAGATGTTGCTCAGAAATTTCGAGAGCCACGTTCGAGACTGTTCCATGCCAAGTGTGGAATCACTCGTAGGCCCCCACTTTTAATTTACATATTAATTTTTATCTCTTTTTTTTTTTTTGAAATATTGTACTTCACTTTTTATCTTTTAACCTGAAACATCGAAAATCCTGTTGTGTTTTTTGTCTCAGTTGCCTAGTGCTCGAAAGAGGCTAACCATTCTCATTACCTAACATATCTTAATATGTACAGCCTATCATAACTCATTCATCATTTTCGTTCGGTTCCGCCCCAGGTTATTGGTTTCAGCTCTTTCCTCTCTCCTGACTCTTTTTTCTCTTAAATTTCTTTTCCTTATTGTTTTTATTGTTTAATTAAGCTCTATGTGTTTTGTCGGTTTCAATAATAAATCCAAAATCCAAAGAAAAATGAAAGAGACTATTGGTCAATTTTCAATATCTATACATGTTTTTTTGGTTTGATAGTATGTAATATGTCAGTTCATTGTTTTTGTTCTTCGATTTTATTATTTTTATTAGAATGATTAGTTTTCTTCTGTGTTATTTGTGACGCTTGCGTTCACAAATACGCAGGTGATTAGCAAATCACACACACACACACACACACACACACACACACACACACACACACACACACACACACACATATTATATTATTGTCGTTGGTATCATTTAATAATTGTATTTCTAACATATCACCGTTAATAGTATTATTTTTTATCACATTATTTTATTATCGCCATCATCTCATTATTATTATTATTATTATTATTATTATTATTATTATTATCATCATCATCATCATTTTGTTGTTATTGTTATTGTCACTACCACCATTATCATTTTTCGTTCTTACCATCATATAAAATCGTTCGGTTTAATTACCAATGTAATGTTTAGTTTTCCAAGGCTTAAGAATAAAATCGTAAATCCGATGATGATGGTAATGGAGGCCATAATAATAGTTGAAAAAAATCAAATTATGATTTTATAATGATTTGCCTTTTACACAATCGTGAATCGTTTTATATTCAATGCCAATTTCTGACTCCATGTCTTATACAGTGAATCTATATACATCAGAAAAAGGTTTTATAAACACGACAGAGCAGATATATATGTTTTAGCTGCCTTATACAACGCCAATCTTAATTTTTAAATGAATACATATAAACGTTCCAATCTCTCCAAGTACATTACATTAATGATTATACTGATTATAACCTTTATTTGAGATTTTAAAATTTCCTTATCAATGAAATAATCCTTCACAAAAGTTATTACTATCATGACTATTATAATTATCATTACTACTCCATTATCGTATCTTATTGTTATTGTTATTGCCATTCTCATCATTATCAAATAATTCGTGTTGATGTTATTGGCAAGTTCATTAGTGTGACGTCACGGCTCCTTAGCAACGGTGGTTCTGGTTCTAAACAAACGCCAGGGCGCTTAGTTACCAACTGGTCCAGCGACAGAAACAAGATTCTAAACAGTCTTTCAGCGCCTAGATTTCAGTGATTCGTATTATTTTTTCTCCCAAAAGAGTTTCATAATAATAGTATTGTTAAAAACCAACTAGTGTTTACATGATGGTACAGTGTTTTGTTCCCAACTGCAATCATCATTCTGAGAGTCACAACTGCAGCTTTTATCGATTTCCAAAAGAAGAGCGAAGGTTAAAGCGTTGGAAAATACTTATAAGGTAAGTAATTGGGTGAATAATTTGAAATCTAACCTAAATCGTAAAAAAAATAGAACTTACTGACTTGATAAATTGTGTAACTCCACGATAGAATCAATTTGTATTTAGCCAGTCATTTCAGACAGCCTGCGTGCATTAGTAGGTCTACCATTAATTCCATACCTATTAGAAAGTAAAATTGGAGGCAAGCAAGCTAGCCGAATTTATAAAGGGTGATTAATTTATTGATAAAAGCTCAGTTAACGTATCTTAGTCATATTGCTTTGTGAAGAGCTGAAGTATTGGACAACCTACTAACTAATTGAAAGTTGCTTTCAAGCCTTGAGTCAACACTCTGTTTGTTGACCTTTGTCCATTTTAGATATTCCATTTGATTCTCTGAGAATCAGTTGATTGTTCTAGACCTTAGTTGATTTAATACACTGCAAAACATTGGATGTGAATTGGAAATTTGCCAGATTATGGTCCGACTCGGTTTGTTTCATGCATTACACCAACACGAAAGGACCAGAATTTCTACTAAAGTTGAATTATGACTATAATATTTTACCCCAAAACAGATTTTTTTTACTGGGGATTGCTGGTCATTTTGTTTACTAAGAATAACAAAGAACTTTGAGGGATGAAATCTACATGATGAGATTTTTGGAAGTTTTTTGGAGTTCCCTATTCAAGAAGCTTAAATTTATTTAACATTAAAACTGAGATCCCTGTCATTTCTTTCAACTACAGGAGGGCAGACAGAGAACCAAACACAAATTCAAGAGTGTGCAGCTGTCATTTTCGGGATGGTGATAAGAGAAATGGCCCTGAGATTTTTAAATGGAACTCAGACGAGCTTTTTCCATCAGAACCAGAAGATAAGAAGAAAAAGACCACAAAGAAAATTTTATCTGATTCTTTGGCAGAAACACTGATGAAACAAGATGCAGGGCCCTCTTCTGGCCATTCTGCTGATGAAATTATTTCACAAAGTAAGCTCACGACTGTTTCTGAAGAGCTTAAAAAGTTAAAAAAAGAGCAGGAGTATGCAAAAAAGGTCTACTCTGTACATGACTTAAAAGAAAATGTGCTTTGCATGGAAACAGGGATTCCTACAAAAAAGGTGTTTTGGATTATAGTGCACTATGCACAGAGATTTAAAAATGACATTGGTTATTATCTTGGCTGGAAAGTAGATGGAATCAAATTTGAGGACCAAATTTTCATTACACTGATGAAGCTGCGGCAAAATTACACAAATCTACATTTAGCTCAGTTATTCTCTTGTAGTGAGGCAACTATTTCCAACATTTTCTTGACATTCCTTCATGTTTTGCATAGTCTTTTTTTCAAAGACATCATGCAGATGCTTTCTTCCAAAGAAAAAAACAAGTTGACATCACCAGCATCATTTCCAAACTGTAGAATTGTAATAGATTGTACTGATGTTGAAATTGCAGTGGCAAAACAAATGAATCTCCAGAGGGTGCCCTATTCTTCCTACAGAGGAATTCATTCATTCAAGGTTTTAATTGGTGTTTCACCTAATGCTGTCATAACCTATGTCAGCAACTTGTACCCAGGCTCCACATCAGACAGAGTCATTGTTCAAAACAGTGGCATTATACACAATTTTATGGCTGGTGACTTAATCCTTGCTGATAAAGGATTCCTTGTAGCTAACATTCTCCCTCCTGGTGTGACAATCAATTTTCCACCATTTTTAGAACGTGGGAAATTTACAAAAAGCCAAATAATTGCAACAAAAAAAAATGCCAGCTGGAGAATTCATGTTGAGCGGGCAAATGCAAGGATAAAGGACTTCAAGATCCTATCATGTATTCCAGCAAAGCTGAGAAGCCATGCAGACAAAATTGTACAACTAGTCGCAGCATTGGTCAATTTTCAGTTTCCTCTGAACAAAGAGTGCAATAAAAGGACACTGTTTGATTCAAATTTTGTTGGCTGGTAATTTTTTAAGAAACCAGAGCTTGATATAGCATTTAAACATTATATTTCAGGATTGTGGCAAACAAAGGACATTCTTTTATCATTATTTATGGTTTCTGTACCGCAT